GCAGGTTCGAAGCATTTTGGGGGCCGATTTGGGGCTTCTCGGGGCCTCCTTTGGGCCTCTTGGGGGTCTCCTGGGGCCTCTTGAGGGGCCTCCTTGGGGCCTCCTGGCGGCCTCTTGGGGCGGAAGGCTCGAGCTTGCGGTTCGTGGTCCCCCTCTGGGCCCCCTCTTGGGCCCGTTTCGGGGCCCTCTTGGGCCATCTTGGGCACCTCTTGGGCCGTCTTGGGGCCCTCTTGGGCTGTCCTGGGGCCCTCTTGGAAGCTTCTTGGGCCGTCTTGGGGCGGTCTTGGGCGCCTCTTGGGCCGTCCTGTAACGTCGGAAAGCCCAAAAGGCGACTTTGTTGAAAAATGTACGTTTTACGAAGGGAATGGGCCAATTTTGCGTCTAGGGGCCCTCTTGGGACGCATGTTGGAGGCTTCTTGGGGCCTCTTGGGGGCGTCCTTGGACGTCTGGGGTCTCCTGGGGCCTCTTGAGGGGCCTCCTGGGGGCCTCCTGGCGGCCTCTTGGGGCGGAAGGCTCGAGCTTGCGGTTCGTGGTCCCCCTCTGGGCCCCCTCTTGGGCCCGTCTTGGGGCCCTCTTGGGCCATCTTGGGCGCCTCTTGGGCCGTCTTGGGGCCCTCTTGGGCTGTCCTGGGGCCCTCTTGGAAGCTTCTTGGGCCGTCTTGGGGCGGTCTTGGGCGCCTCTTGGGCCGTCCTGTAACGTCGGAAAGCCCAAAAGACAACTTTGTTGAAAATGTACGTTTTACGAAAGGAATGGGCAAATTTTTGCGTCTAGGGGCCCTCTTGGGACGCATGTTGGAGGCTTCTTGGGGCCTCTTGGGGGCGTCCTTGGACGTCTGGGGTCTCCTGGGGCCTCTTGAGGGGCCTCCTGGGGGCCTCCTGGCGGCCTCTTGGGGCGGAAGGCTCGAGCTTGCGGTTCGTGGTCCCCCTCTGGGCCCCCTCTTGGGCCCGTCTTGGGGCCCTCTTGGGCCATCTTGGGCGCCTCTTGGGCCGTCTTGGGGCCCTCTTGGGCTGTCCTGGGGCCCTCTTGGAAGCTTCTTGGGCCGTCTTGGGGCGGTCTTGGGCGCCTCTTGGGCCGTCCTGTAACGTCGGAAAGCCCAAAAGGCAACTTTGTGAAAAATGTACGTTTTACGAAGGGAATGGGCCAATTTTTGCGTCTAGGGGCCCTCTTGGGACGCATGTTGGAGGCTTCTTGGGGCCTCTTGGGGGCGTCCTTGGACGTCTGGAGGCCATCTTCAGCATCTCGGAGCCCTCTTGGAGGCCTCTTGGAAGTTTCTTGGGCCGTCTTGGGCGCTTCTTGGGCCGTCTTGTCTGACCGGGGAGGCCTCCGGCAAGCCCCGACGAGCCTCCGGGCCCCCCGGAGCCCACATTTGTGGTCGAGGTCCCGGCCCCGGGCCCCCGGACCCGGTGCGCCGTTATATGTATATATATATATATATATATATATATATGTACACATACAGATATGATTGTTTCCAAAAAATGGCGCCACCGAAACCATACTCCCTCGGAGATTCCTCCAGATTCGCGCCCCCGAAACTCAAGTCCCTCGTAAAGTACAAAATATTCATGATCTATCACAAATTCTACTGTGCTCGCGCTTCCGAAACCTCGTAGAATATTCAATCCTCGCGTCTCCGAGGCAATACTCCATCGTAAATTGAGCAATGCCCACCTGGATATGTCAAGGGGCCCCCCTTCGGAGCCCCGATGCTGCTTGACGACGGCACCCAGGCCTCACAACATAGCTTTTGCAGACCCCACTATCCGGGAGAGGAGGCCAGCGGCAGTTGGCGAAGCCCTTACATATATCGCGGTGATCGTAGCCCTCAGCTATCTTATAATAAAACAGAAAACTGAGCCAGCCAACGAACGAACCACTCAAGAAATCCTCACAATCTGGCAGCGAACGGGCAAGCGTTCCCATCCCCGGCGGCTCCTCTTCGGAGTGCCCCAGCGCCACGCCTGTTATATCGCTCCGATCATGAGGTTTAGAAACACTGTCAGCAAAAACCGACCACAGAGGAATGTCCCTGGTTACCCGCCCAAGTGGTCTCCCTTGTCGGAAGCCTCCCCCCTCCTTCGCGTTCCAGAATCTCCCCCCCCCACACACACACACACCTTTCAGCTTCCCTGCCGAATGCAACCCCCCCTCCCGTTTTGTTTCCCCTTGCGACCCCTGCATCTGCAAGCAGTCCCCCCTCACTTGCACCTCCCTCATCGGAAGCCCTCGCCCCCCTCCCCCCCCCTTGTTTCTCCCCCTACGGAAACTACCCCCCCTTTCGGCTCCCCCGTCCGCAGCCGACCCCCCCCCCAGGGGGCGCAGTATGAGCCCCACGACTTGACCTCGACAAAACAGAGTGCGAACCCTGGGAGAAACACGCGAATGGAAGGACACCACAATGTGCACTGGGGGGAAAACATACTTATGCTCAAGCATGCGAGAACAGCAACAGGAACAGCAGCAGCATTAACAACAACAACAACAACAACAACAACAACAACAACAACAACAACAACAACAACAACAACAATTACTAGCACGTGGGGGCACTCCGTTCTCACCAGTGCCAGGGTTTTCATACGACGCCCGCCAATACCCCCACTTTGTGGGGGGGCCGGTTCAAGCTCTACCACATTTCCAAACGACTCTTCGCCACCACCCACACCCAGCTTCCCGCCCTATGACGTTCGGACACTTCACTTCGTGGCCTGCGGACGACCGTGGCTACTACACTGGCGCATGGGTACAGTGACTTGTGTGACTACGGGTAGAAATTTTGAAAATTCGTACAGATGTTTTTCGACAACCTACGGTGCGATTCGTATGATTTTATGTTGCGCGGTGCTAAAATTCCTAAGAAACCCAATGGTTTTTGAAGATTTCGGCGTGCGCGCGCGAAGAAAAAACGAATGTGTCCCGCATGGTATTATTTGACAGGGATGATGGCCCTAACAGGTGCGCAACCGTTGTTGGAGAAGTTCGAAGCACGTGAAAAAGTGGCTCGCGAAAGCCCGTTTGACAGAAATGTTTAAAAAGTGTTGGGTTTCCTACAAATCCGCAAGAGCGCGCGGGATGAAAGTTTGACGCTTTTTTTTTTTTTGAAAAACCATTGTTTTTTTTATGTTTTTATGTTAAAATCGCTACGAACACTAAGGTTTTGGAAGGATTTCGTCTTGCGCGCGCGAATGTCCACTTTACCTTATTTTTTGCAAGGGATTCTTGAAGTTTGGTTATGTTAGAACAAGAAATGTCCACTTTGCCTGATTTTTTGCAAGGGAAAACCGATCGTAACAACACAACCGGATCTGGTTCACATTTTGTGCCTGAGACTTCCTCACGAAAATTATGAAAATGAGGCTGCGGCCTAGGCGCGGCGAGGGGGTCGCGCACCAGGGGTCCCAACAATAATTATTCTTTAGAATAAATAATGTTCAACAACAACAACAACAGCAGCTGCATCCACAAGTATAACAACAACTGCAACAACAACCGCAGCAAGAAAAACAGCATCAACGCCATGAGCAACAACAACAACAGTAACAACAGCAACAACAACAACAACAACAACTGTATCAGCAGCAGCAACAACAGCAACAACAACAACGACGACAACAACATCAATCATAACAACAATACGTGTTACTGTCGACCGCGTGCCACTCATCACGTAAATCCCAAACCTTCGATACCCGTCCTCTTAGTTTTCGATCGTACTCCTTAGGAGTTTACCTTTCTTACGTGCAACGCGCATGTCGTGCAGCCCTAAGGCAGGGCAAGAGAGGACAGATGGAAAGAATGGACAAGGAGAACAGAGAAGGATGGAGCAGGAGAGAGGGTGGGTAGACCTTAACGCCCCAAATGGCGGGTCGGAAAGGCGGGCCCAGACAGCCAGGTCGAGCAGACGGGGTGCGGAAGCGCGCGTCCTGCATGAATCGCGCGGAAGTCTTCACCGATAGCGCGATTCTAAAACAAATCGTGAGGAAATCCAAGGGGAGAACATGGTTCCTGAGTGTCGAGGACGCGGCGTCTGAATAAACTGCAAGGAAATCCCATGCGAGAGCAAGATACCTGTATAATGTGTGAGGAAGTCCCGCGCGAGAGTACGATTTGGAAATGCATCGTGATGAAGTATCAGGCGGGAGCCGCTGTTGTTGTAAACTGGGGGCCAGGGTCGCTGTTTGGAGACACCTCACCTTCCCGTGTAAAAAAACAGGTGCGAGCCCTGGGAACAGCATTTTAATTGAAAGCTTCAATGGTCACCAGGCAGGGGGATCAACAACAATTGTTTCTATGAGTGAGAGTTCAACAAGCAACACAACATTCACTTCAAGAAGGTTCGCTCTCGCTTGCTCGCCGGCCTCTCAACACGTATATCCCAAACCTTCGATACCCGCCCTCTTCGTCTTCGAGCGTACCCCCTCGGAGGGATATCTTTGAGGGGGCGCGTTTCACGGGCGCTTGCCCCGGGAAGCTACGGCGGCGCGTCTGAGCCGGGGGAGGGCCCCCCCCCAGGAACATGCGGCTGCACCGCGCGGTTGCGGCTTCCCGTCAAACCCAACAATATGCCGGTCTTCTTCATCTCCAGTATTTCTACAACACGCCACCGATGATAATAATAACCATTAAAATAAGAAGAGAAATAATAATAATAATAATAAGAAGAAGAAGAAGAAGAAGAATCAGCACCATCATTATTCATCATCATCAGCAGCATCAGCATCAGGATCAGCATCATCATCATAAGCATAATCATCAACATCAGCAGCATCATCCTCAGTATCATGATCATTATCATCATCGCCATGATCAGCAGTATCACCAGCAGCATCATCATCGTCGTCAGTATCGTCATCCTCATCGGTATCATCAGCATCATCATCACCTTTATCATCAGCAGCAGCAGCACCATCGTCATCATCAGCATCATCGGCATCAGAATCATCATCAGCAGCATCATCATCAGCATCAGCATCCACATCAACACCACCATCATCACAGTCCTTGTACACCTTCGCGTCGCGAAGCACCAGGAAGGTCCACTCCCCGACGGCGCCCGACTGGCCCGACACCCCCCCGGCTGCGGTCTTCACGCCCTGGATCCAAGCCCTCAGGTAGCTCTCGCTGGCCTGCGGCCGAGAGCTCACGCTTCGGCGGGCTTTTAGAAATTCTCGACAAATTCGATATGCGCAGGTTGCCCCGCGATGGGGATGCCCAGTCACCCGCCCGCGGAGCTCAAACTCTACCAGAAGGGCTTCTGCGAATATAACACAGTCGACCCGTAGCATAAAGGACGCGAGGTACGGGAGGACCGTGGAAAGGCCGCTTCGAGGCTCATCGAGCGGGGCGCGGCCAACGAAAGCGGCCAAGGATGGACCGAGGAGGCAAGGATGCAAGGGTACCGTTAGGAAAAGTGATCATCCTTACTATGCGGGTTGACTGTAAGGTGAGCGTTATCTTATTCGGCGATTCGACATTGCGCGGAAGGGGGGGGAGGGGGGGGTCTGGCTCTGGACCTCTGCTTAATGCGACTGTTTGCAACAACGTGTCCGATGGGAGAGGGACTCCACCTGCTCGAAACAGGCGCCAAAAACAGCCAGGTCTACTCCATAGCGGGGGAGGGGGGGGTACGAGAGCCCGCGCCGATCGGCAAAACAACGAAAAAAACGATCACAAATGGGTGTTTGCTTTAAACGAGTGGCCCATGCACTCAGAATTGCTTGGGCCCCTCTCGAGACCCTGCAAAGCGCGAGAGCCCAAAAGCAGTAGGGCAAGCCCACACCCTCTTGTCGGGGAGACGTGAGACTCGGGCTCGGGGGACTCGGGTTGGCCTGACGGGGCGATCATGAAGATGACGAAGCCCAGCCTGAAATTTGACGCGAACTCCCGCTGCAAACGTCAATGGACCGTCAAAGCCCAGGACGCGCTCGTCAAAAAGCGTCGGCAAACCCGAGTTCCGACGTGCTCGAGAGTTACGTTTCCCCGATCTGGGTGGGAAAAGGCACAAGACTTCGAGCTGCAGATATCTCAGACCACGCCCTGCTCAGAGCAAAAGCCGCGTGCGACGGCCTTGCCCCGTCACTGACCCCGGATGCTGCAGGCTGGGGGCGGGACAGGACATGTGCAGCACTGTGCCAGGAGAGTGTCCAAAAATTTGCCTGTCCTCCGTGTGTGCTGTGGGAGGTTCACCACCGAAAGAGCGACCCGCCGCCCTGACCCCTGCCAGAGGCCCAAGAAGAGTAGCGAGAACCCCGTGGCACACCATGAAACTGTGCCCTGCTTCCCCTTCGTCGCCCACCTTGGCCTCCCTTCCCCATCCCAGCCTGCAGGGTCCCAGGCTTCAGGAGCAGGGCAGCGGGCCAGAGCAGCAGGTACGGGCACAAGCCCTACTAGAACACTCTGGAGAGCGATTCGCTCTTTTTCGCAATAATGGCAGTCACCGTCCTGGGCTGACCCCCACCCCACCCAGGTAACGTCACGATCCACGCTGATCTTTAAGTTTGCTCTGGTTGCTCCTAGACCTAAGTCGGGCATGTCCTCATACAGGCGGATGTTGGGCGGAGAGATTACAAAGACTCAACAAATCCAAAGTCAAAAAATCGTCCCCTGACTATTTTTGAATATTCCTCCGGTAGAGGGACATGCCCGACTTAATCTCGGGGATCTTCTGACCCGGGTCAATCCAGACCCGGGTCAGCCAGGCCTTGCAGAATCCTGCAAGATCCTGCAAGACCCTTCACCCAAACCCGGGTCAATGCGAAGGATCCTGCAAGATCCTGCAGGATCCTGCACCCAAACCCGGGTCAATGGGAGCCTGGCTCTGCAGGATCCTGCAAGATCTGGCGCTCTGGCTGACCCCCGTTTGCATTGACCCCCGTCTCGAGGCTCCCGATAATCCTAGACGTAGACGGCGCCGGCCCGAAGCATGGCATGACCGCCCCCACCCCTTCCCCCTCCCCCCCACCCCTGGTGCCGCCCGCTGCCGCGCGGGAATACAGAGAAGCTGAGGAGGAGGAGGAGGGGGAGGAGGAGGAGGGGGAGGAGGAGGAGGAGGAGGAGGAGGAGGAGGAGGAGGAGGAGGAAGACGAGGGGAGGGGGACGACGACCGACGACCAACGACGGCGACGGCGACGGCGGTGGCAGCGACTAGCGACGACGACGACGACGACTAGCAGGAAACAGCGGATGTTGGAAAGTCAGTGAAAGTGGAAGTGGCCAGGGCCAGAAAAGCTGGCAGGGGCTGGAACACAGGGCTCGGGTTGAACAATGTTTTCCGTTTTCGGTTTGTTTTCGTCATCCCTAGTTCTGTCTTCGTTCCACATCTGCTGCAAAACGAAGTCAAAACGAAAACGGTCCACGAGATTGCCAAAACGTCGTTTGGCTCGAGCCCTGCTGGAACAGACCCGAAGCAATTGGGACTCGGTCGCCGGGGGTGGAGGAGCGAAAGGACACCGGCCAGGGCCGGACAGAGTGGGAAGGCTGGCCCTGGCCACTTGTCGGTCGGGCATGCCCTCCCCGAAATGGCTCCCGAAGGGCATGTCGGGGGACATTTCCTCGGGGAGGGGCATGCCCTCCCAAGTATGCATGTCCTCCTCCTCGGGCATGTCGAGAATACCCGGAAGACCGTCCCCATACGATCTTTAAAATGTAAAACTATTCATTTTTACACATCTATATATATAAACATACACATAACTATACATATATGTGTATTCTCCTCCTGTAGAGGGACGTGCCCGACGTAAGGGCACTTCTTCCAGCTTCCCTGCAAAAATCGAACGCTCCCTTGGACCTGGGCAGGCCCCGCCGCACGGGCCCGGCGTCTCCTCTTTTCCTCTCCGCAGCGCGCGCGCTCTTCCGTGGCGTGCGGGCCGCTCGGCGCACCGTGAGCTCGCTCGTGCCGCGGCTGCCCGCGGTGGGCAGCAGCAGCAGCAGCAGCAGCAGCAGCAGCAGCAGCAGCAGCAGCAGCAGCAGCAGCAGCAGCAGGGGAGGTCCTCCTCCTCCTCCTCCTCCTCCTCCTCCTCCTCCTCCTCTCCTCCCCCTCCTCCTCCCCCTCCTCCTCCTCCTCCTCCTCCTCCTCCTCCTCTCTCCTCCTCCTCTCCTCCTCCCCCTATCCCTCCTCCTCCTCCTCCCCCTCCTCCTCCTCCTCCTCCTCCTCCTCCTCCTCCTCCTCCTCCTACAGACGAGGTCAGTCCACGAGAAGCCTCCCGCAAGAAACCCAATACTGAGGCCCCGGGGCGTCCATGGACTCTTGGTGTGGGCACGTCACGCCTTCCATAGCAGAACCATCGCAGCCCGAGGAACCCAGGGCACCCTGGAGGTAAGCCCGGTGTTTCTTGGCATGGGTCTCCACTGTAGGAGGCTGGCGGGGTGCGAGGGAAAGGCAATCAGGGAGAGCAGGACGGAGCGCGGTGAGAGATCGGGGAGGTGGCTGCTTTGGAACGTCTGTGCCGCCGGCCTCGCTCTCGAGACCGTCCGGGGCGGCGGCCGCGTCGAAGTAAAACAAGCGACGCTTTGCCCCGCCCTGCGGATCCGGGTCCAGCACGAACCCGCACTTCCGGTCTTTGTGCTTGGCAGCATCGCCGGGCGCCTTTGGATTCCTCATCTCTATCGCAACGCTGCTGGGTCCGAGCTCTACGTCGCCCTTCTTGGTCTCGCCCGTACCATCCTCAAAATACTCCAGGATGCCAGGCCTGAGCCGGCAGTAGCGACGCATCCAAGCGTAGTCAGCGTTGGGACCACGCTTGTGAAGCCAGCCTGCGATTATGCAGTCTCGGTCGAGCTCTCCCCGTCTCATGTCCTGCAACTCCTGGCTCAGCTGCTCCTCGATGGCCCTGCTGATCGCGGGCAGGTCTTCTGTGAAGCAGTGTCCACTGCTGCTCTCCTCGCTGGTGTACCGAAGGAACTGCTCGAAATTCAGGCCCCTCCCGGGCGCACCGTACTCCCTGCAGACGGAGTCCCAGATGCCGTGGAATGCGCGCTCGTCCGCTGCGTCGCGGCATCTGCAGAGCTTCAGCAGCTCGTCGAAACCGAGACTCCCGTTGTGGTTCCGATCGAGCTTCTGGAAGATGTCCTGGAGCAGCTCGTTCCGCTCGGCTTCGTCCTCGTCCATTCCGTCCAGTCGCCTCGCCCAGGGCGGCGGCCAAGCTCCCAGAGGCCAGGCTGCAGCGCCACCCGGGGGGGGGGAAGCGGGGGCGCTGTGGTGGGCTCCTGTCCGGCACCTGCGAAATCGCACCCGCCCGCACCCGGACTCTGGCTCGCTCGCGAGCGCTCGAGAGAGAGCGGCAGCACAGAGAGGCGAGACCTGAGTCATAGGCCTCCCAGGTGGGGCCCGAGGAGATGTGGGATCGCGCCTCGTCGCCAATGCAGCGGCGATGCATCGTCGATGCATCGCCGACGTCGGCGACGCATCAGCGACGTCGGCGTGGAGAAAATCGGGCTCCGCATCGACGATGCATCGTGGATGCATCGGCGATGCGGCGCGATCCTCCGACCCCACCTGCTCCGACCCCATCTAAGAGGCCTAGAAGAGTCCACGTGTTGAGATGTGCCGGAGTCGGAGCGAAGTGCCGGCCCGCTTCCAGTCGCACGCGTGTTGGACGCGTCGACAAAGAGAATAATTCCCGCCGAGCTCATCTTCTTCCGGCCGTGGGAGGGGGTGCAGTGGGGTCTGGCCAAGGGGGGGCCCGATGCGCCCTGGGGGGTCCCTCTCACCGCTCTCCTCCTCGGCTTCCCCCTTTCCCTTCGCACCCTGGGCTCCGTGAGCCCTGCAGGGGGGTTCGGAGTGATTGGTCGGTGGCCTCGTTGGCCGTGAAACATGTTTCCCAACCCTCAAGTGGCGTTGGGTCTACGTTTTGGATCCGCATCGCCCCGCGTTCGTCCTTCACTTCTTTCTCCTGCTCCTTCTCCCCCTCATCCCTCCCTCCTTCCTCCCATCCCTGCTTCTGCTCTCCGCATGTCAAAATCATCCGTATAATCATCACCGCCACTATCATCACCACCATCACCTGCAACATCATCACCACCATCGTCGCCGTAATCATCACAAGCGTCTACAACTGCTTAACCATCATCGTCGGCATCGTCATCATCGGCAAAAACACCACCACTACCACCATCATGATCATGATCATGATCATCATCATCATCATCATCATCATCATCAGCATCATCATCATCATCATCATCGTCGTCATCATCATCATCATCATCGTCAAAATCATCATCATCATCATCATCATCATCATCATCATCAGCATCGTCATCATCATCAGCAGCATCATCGTCCTCGTCATCCTCATCAGTATCATCAGAATCATGATCATGATCATCAGCATGATCAGCTGATCATCCTAATCAGCATCAGCATCAGCATCATCAACACCAGCATCATCATCACCATCAGCATCATCATCACGAATCATGATCGTCACTATCATCATCACCAGCATCATCATCATCAGCATCATCAACATCATCAGCAGCATCATCAGTATCGACATCATCAGAATCATCAACATCGCCATCATCATCATGATCAGCATGATCAACATCATCATCAGCAGCATCATCATCAGCAGCATCATCAGTATCACCAGCATATTCAGTATCATGTTCATAATCATAATCAGCATCGTCGTCATCATGATCAACATCATCAGCATCATCAACAGCATCATCACCATTACCATCACCGTCATCATTGTCATCATCAACATCATCATCATCATCATCAGCATCAACCTCATCGTCAGCATCATCATCAGCGGCAGCACCATAATGATAAGCATCAGCATCAAAAACATCATAATCATCGTCATCATCGTCGTCACAATCATTAACATCAGCGTTCTTATCGTCAGATTCACCCTGAAACGTACACAACATAATCGGCATCAGCATCGTCATCGGCACCGCCATCACCACCATCATCGTCATCATCAGCATATTCAGCATCATCAGCATCATCAACACCATCATCATCATCAGCAGCAGCAACAGCAGCATTATCAGCAGCAGCAGCATCATCATCGTCATCATCATCAGCATCAGCAACATCGTCATCATCATGAGCATCATCAGAATCATTTAAATCATCATCATTATCATCATTATCGGCATCGTCATCATCATCAGCATTGCCAGCATCACAACCACCAACATCAGAACCGCAAGCGTAATCAGAATCGACATCAACATCATCATGACCATCATCATTGATACCACTAACATCATCATGATCAGCACCAGCATAATGAGCATCAGCATCAGCATCATCATCTGCATCTCCATCATCGTCATGATCACCATCCGCAGAAGCATCATTAACAGAATCATGATCAGCATCTGCAGCAACAGCAACATCAGCATCATCATGAGCAGTATCATCGTCAACGTCGTAATTATCATGTTCACGATCAGCATCATCAACATCATCATCAGAATCATCAGAAGTATAATCATCAGCATCATCATCATCGTCAGCACCACCACCACCATCATCATCCCAACCGCAAGCGTAATCAGAATCGGCATCATCATCATCAGCATAATCAACATGAACACCATTAACATCATGAACATCATCATGTTCAGCATCAGCATAATGAGCATCAGCGTCCATCATCTGCATCTTCATCATCATCATCATCATCATTGGCAGAAGCATCAGCATCAACATTATCATCATCAGTATCAGTAGCATCATAATCATCATCGTCGTCGTCATCACCAGCATGCTCCTCATCATCACCCCCACCATAATCGCAAGCGTCGTCATCAGAAGCATCATCGTCATTATCATCAACATCATAATCATTGTCCTCGTCGTCGTCATCATCGGCAGCCGCACCGCCAACACCACCACCACCATCATCATCGTCATAATCATCACCAACGTAATCAGTGTCAGCGTCGTCATCCTCATGAGCAGCAGCATCATCAGCATCACCACGACCACCACCATCACCATTATCATCGTCATCACCATCACCATCACCACCAGCATCGCCATCATCATCATCATCATCATCATCATCACCAAGATAGCTCATGATCGAGATCGTCATCCTGATGATCCCCGTGCCCATGTCGGGACACCTCACATACTTCACAGACCCATAAGAAGCTCCAACCAAGGCTCCGGTGGCAGAACCCGCATGCGGACTCGGGTACATGTCGGCACACCTCTCTCACGGTTCGTGGCCCCGCAAGGAGGTCCACCAAAGGCCCCGGTGGCAGCACTATCACGCGGACTCGGGTTCCATCTCGGCACATCCGTCACACACGTTCTGTGGCCCCAGAGGGAGCGCCCCTGAAGGCCCCAGTGGCAGCGCTGCGTGTCTGCCACGAGCAGGATGTCAGTCGCGAGAAGGCCACGAGCAGGGCCCGACAACCAGGAGCGGACCTATTCGAAGCCTTACCGACCCCCACTTGGTCGACAAGCGGAAGGGCGGGAGTCTGGGATTGCTGGAGGGTGAGATTCAGATTGCTCTGCAACATGCCTGGGACCCAGGACTGAAAGAGTAAGAAAGCGATAACCCTGCTACATGAAATGCCACTGAGAGGGCTGGAACGGTGAGATTTGAAACTGCTCGGTGCGAGACAATAAACACGTCAATACTCATCAACATGATGTGCCGAAGAGCCTGCATTTAGACAGCGTCAAGGCAAGCTTACGACAGGTAATTCAACCGCTCATGCCGAGACGGGACAACTCGCGCAGAAGACACCATCCGTTCTGAAAGGACTTGGCCCCCATCGTTGTAAGTACCGGATATGTGCACTCGCCGGTCCAATGGGCCACCAGGGGAACCTGAGACCTGGCCAGCAAGGGGACAGAAAGCGACCTACTAGTGAGAGGGCACGAGATGTCGCTAGCGGTCCTGTCTTGGGGACCTCTTTGGGCCCTCACTGGTGGTCATGTTGGGACCTTCTTGAGGCGCCCTCCGGCCTTCGGGGCTTTTGTGGTCTTTTCTGGCCCTCATGGCGGCAGCTGGAGAGAATATTAGGCCATTCTGCGGCCAGATGAACCAGGCCCGACCCCAGTTAGGGGTCTTCGTTCAGGGCAACTCAGAAGCAAATACGAACAATACACAACAATGCAACACATAGCACTGGAAAACGCTGCATTTTTTTTTTTTTTTCTGTAGGGGCATGCTGTTAGCGATGCTCGCGTCACGCCAGGAACATAGGCCGATCTGACTGGACAACGCCCAGACCGAGGCCCTCGTGAGCACGACCAACAAAAACGGAGCATGGAAATGGTGAGGACACGACATGGCACTAATCCCAGTCGACACAGCCGTGTTCAAAAAGCAGAGCCATCACACAAGGAATGCAAGCTCGTGAAAAAACTCAAATAATGCCAGAACGCCAATATGCCACCGATCACCTCGGGATAGTTTGACACCCAACCCATAGATGAGAGCTTAAGGTCAAGGTGAGCTCCTCATCATCAACGTTTATTGCTCTCCACCTTCATCACTTTTTCACACTCGATTTGTGCAGCCGAATGTTCACCTCTGGGCGAAGAAAGGGTGGAGCTCAGGGTTCTTCGTGCGACGCAGCCGCCTCGCACTCCACCTCCTGGCGTTCTCCTCGTAGCCCTGCAACTGTGCCGCCATGACCTCGAGGACGGGCGCGGCGGGTCCAGCCATGGCCAGCCGCGACCCGTTCCACTCGGCGATGAACTCGAGGGCGTCACTCGGGGTGATAAAGTTCACAAACGCGTGACCCTTCGTAGTCCGAGCGTGAAAGTCCGTTGGTGCGTAGGCGAAGTCATAGCGGTTCGCGTAGCCAGACTGGTTCATGAGGACCAGAAGGTCGCCCTGCGTCACAGCCATTGGAAGGTTGCGGATCACGACCGTGGTAATGGCTGGAGCGCCAGGGGCGACGGGCGCTGCCTTCTCCATCGGCACCAACGCCCTGGCCACGGGTTCATCCTGTTGGAGCTCTAGCTCCGTCAGGTCGGCCTCTTGCTGGAGAATTCTTTGCCTGGCCTCCTGCACCTCCTGCTCCAGCTCCAGGATCCTGGCCCGCTGCATCTCCAGCGCCCTGCTGGCGGCCGCGAGCTTGCCGCCGGAGGCTCCTGCGCGGCCGCCGCAGATCGGCCGCCCCGCCTGCGCCGCGAGGCCCGCGCCGGGCGCTGCCCCGCCCCCGGCGCGGGCGGGCTCCGCCTGCCGGGACCTCCCGGCAGGCGCCGCCCCGGCGGCGGAATGCGGCGGCATGCCGGGCGCACTGGTCGGCGCTGCTCCGGCGCCGCCGTGGAGCGGGGGCGCGCCGCTGGCTGCCCGAGCAGGCGGGCGCTCGCGGGAAGCCAGCTGGGCGGCGCCGGGGCCCGCCCAGGCCGAGTCCTGCGCGTTCTCGGGTGGGTCCTCGGGTGCGCAGCCTCCTCTGGTTTCCGCCCGCCCAAGCCCGCGCGGGTGGTCGAACTCGTCGTCGGTCTCCAATTGCTCGTTGTCGCTCTGCTCGCAAGGCGGCAGGAGCTGCATGGTGGGGAGCGAATTCACGGTGGACTCCTGCATGGTGGGCAGTGGCTGCATACTGGGCAACGAACCAAAAGTACCGTCTGAACCTGAGAATGGTGCGAACGCGGCTATGTTGGGGTAAGACGCGGAAGATCCGCAAGTTTCCGTTGTTGGCGTGGCCGTACTCCGCCTGGTGGCACTGGTGAAACTGCATTTTCCCGGCGGGACGCACAACGCGCAAGCGTTGCACATGGCGGAGGGGATGCCACTTTGAATCCGCTGAGATGTTCCCCGACTCGTCAGCGAGTCCATCGCTGTTAAAAACAATCGCAGACCAATCGCAGGGTGTAGAAAATGATGCGGTACAGTCGCCTGGATCAAAAAGGTTAGCTAGAATATATACTTGAAGCTCAACCGCTTGAGCCAAAATGACTGGAAAACGCTGCATTGCTTAGCATTGCTTGGCATTGCCCAGCACTGCTTTACATTGTTTTGGCATTGCTTGGCATTGCTTGGCACTGATTGACCTTGCTTGGCAATGCTTGGCAGTGCTCTGGTGTTGCTAGGCATTGCATGGCATTGCTTGGCATCGCTTGGCATTGCTTGGCATGGCTCAGCACTGCTTGGCACTGCTTGGCACTGCTTGGCATTGTGTAACATTGTTGGCATTGATTGGCATGGCTTCGCATCGCTTGGAATTACATCATGTTGCTTGGCGTTATTTGACATTGCTTGGTATTGCTTTGGCGTTGCTTGGCATTGTCTGGCATCGCTTAGCATTGCTTGACATTGTTTGGTCTTGCTTGGCATCGCATTGTATTGCTTGGTATTGCTTGAGGAACCCCAGTACCCTAGGGAGGGCATTGCATGAGGACCCCGAGGACCCCCCAAGAACCTCAGCGAGGAGCCCGTGAAGGCCTCTCATTAGCCACGTTGGACCCACAAGTCTCTTCACTAACCAGCTTTCGGCAACACATCGTCAGATAAAAAATCATAGATAGCTAAAGGCCCGCGGGGATCCTGAACCGCAGGCTATTGCACCGCCGATGTGCCGTCAATACGTTGCAGGCTGTGTCACGTGTTCTACGCATGGTGCAGTTACAATATCACAGGACTCATACAGTCTGGCGATAACTTAAGAATTTATTTTGCTGAAAAATAGGGGCGGCGCCCAGGAGAAAGATATCAAACAATAGTAAAAACATACAAAAAAGTTTTTTTTTTTTTTTTTTTTTTTTTTTAAAAAAAAAAAAAAAAAAAAAAAAAAAATTTTTCGTATAGTTTCTTACATTTTTCATAGTTTATCATATTTTTCGGCGCCCGATCAGGGAAGGACAACATAACAAAAAATAGCAAAAAATAGTAAAAAAAAAAAAAAATGTAACTATATGATTTTCCATATTCTTCGGCGTTCGAGCAGGGAAGGAAGCAATATCAAATAATAGCAACAAGTAGCAAAACATAGCTGGAAATATATGTTTTCCTATATATTCCATATCCTCACACATTTGTAGCAAGGGAATCATAAGGATTCCTACGTATTCCTAAAAATTCCTAAAGACTCCTAAGGATTCCTATGGATTCCTAAGGAATCTCAAGGATTCCTATGTATTCGTAAGGATTCCTAAGGAAACATAGAGATTCCTTAGGATTCGTATGGGTTCCTCAGGAATCTCAAGGAGTCCCATGGATTCGTAAGGAATCCTAAGGAAACCTAAGGATCCCCCACGGCCGGAACAAGGCCACAAGAACATCGGACAAGAACATGAGACCCTCCGCGGGCCAAAGTACCCCAAACCATAAGGACGTCGAGGACGCCCTTCCGAGGTGTCCCCGACCTTCACTACCGAGCCAACGTGCGCCAGTACGCATCTGGTTCAGCCCCCACAGGCGGCACGATTGGGGAATGGGGAGGATTGGGTTGGACGGGGGGGGTGGGGGCGATGTGGAAACGCCAGCCCGTAGTTCCCGCGCGGGGGATGCGGCGTTGGCGCGGCGGCGACGCCAGCGCGAATGTTCAAGGTTGAACACCCTTCGGGGGCCGGCTTCGGGCCCCAGGACCAGCAAAAAGCAAACCACGGCGCGAGATCCATTCGAATGCGGGGGTCGGCGGCCCACGCAGCCTGCCGAGAGCTGAGATCGCTCAGAATTGAAGGGCTCACGCGGTCTCAGAAACCAGGGCCCGCGCCGTCAACGCAGCGTTTGGAGGGCTTCGTATGGTTTTCGGATGTTCCCTGACGGTTTTCGGGCCATGGCTCAGGCCTCCCGCGACCGTTCAGAACGATTCCAGCACCCTTGGACGTCCGACGACGACGACCGCGACGACGACGACGGTGGCAGCAGCAACGACTGACGACGACGACGCCGGCCGGCCCGCGCGCCCGCTCGGCTCGGCCTGGCCGCGCGACGGGGCGCAGGAAAAGGAGGAGGAGGAAGAGGAGGAGGAGGAGGAGGAGGGGGGCGAGGAGGGGGGGGGGAGGAGGAAGAGGGGGGGGAGGAGGGGGAGGCAGAGCAGGAGGAAGAGCAGGTGCCCGCTGGGGGGCTGAGGTGGCCCACTTCTGGTTCGGGGAAGTTTTTCGCCCTCTTCGGCTTCCTGCGGCCGTTTTCGGGCCCCCGGGGTTCGAAAAACGGATCCAGGGCGAAAAGCCGCGCCAGGTGGGCCCCCAGAGGAGCCCCAGGACCGATTTTGAGAGCCTTTACCTTCACCCCCCCTGGCCGCCCCCAAGGAGCAGGGGCCAAGGGGCCCCCTGCCCGGGCGGGCGCCGCTTCCCCTTCCCCCCTCCTTCCCCGGCGGCGCCAGCGGCGGGCCCACCTCCAGCTATGGTGGGGGGCCGCTGGTGGGGCGGCGCTGCGTGCGCCCCCACGGACCGCCAGCCCCTGCCTCCCGCCCGCGCGTTCGTCGTCCGCCTGCTAGGGGGAATGGAGAGTAGGAGGCAAGGGAGGAGGAGCCTGAGGAGGAGGAGGAGGAGGAGGAGCGACCACGACCACGACCACGACGAGGAGGAGGAGGAGGAGGACGACGACGACGACGACTGACGACTGACGACTACGACGACGACGACGACGACGACGACGACGACGACGGCGCCAGCGATGACGAGCACGACGAAAACGAGGAGAACGACGACGGCCAAGACGAAGACGACGACGACCACGCCAGCCGCGGGGGGCGCAGTGGAGGGGGGGCCCACCTGACGGCGCACCCCCTGACTTCCCCTTGGCCCTGACGCACACGCCGCCCAGAGACATCCTCCTCCCCCGACCCGCGGAGCCACGACCGCGGGCCCTCGGGCGGCGATGGTTACGGGTTACGGGCCCAGCCCGACACCCCGGAGGGCGGGCAGCGCCCCATGCCCACCGCGCGCCTCGAGGCCCCGCGGCGCGGCACCGCGGCGGCGGCCTTGGACGTGTCCAGGCGGAAAGAGGGTGAGCGAGGAGAGGGGAAGGGGGGGGCGCATTTTTTAATGGCAAAGTCAAGGGGGAGGTGCCGCGACACAATCACGCCACGGGGCACCGAATCACATGGTCGAGTCCCCGAAATACGCAGGCCGGCCCGCCACCCCCAACCACGACGTCGACACCGACGACGACGACGTGGCCGACTACGACGACGAGGAAGACGCGGACGACGACCAAAACCACGACGACGACGATGACGACGACGACGACGATGACGACGACGACGACACCGAAGACGACGGGAACGACGACGGCGACGACGACCCATACGGGCGGGCCGGGCGGGCGGACCGCCCTGGGCGGGTCGGGCGGGCAGACCCGACCAGGCGGGTCGGGCGGGCGGGCCTTGACGGGCGAGTGAGCTGGGCTGAATGGGGCATTGCCATAAGTAGTGCATTATGCATCCAGCTGGACATCCATAGGGGCACCGGCGACACCGACGACGACAACAACGACGACGACGACGCGGCAACGCCGACAGAGACAGGGGCGACGAATTCGACGAGGACGACGACCACGGCGAGGAGGAGGACGACCACGGCGAGGACGACGACGACAACGACGAGGACGACGACGGCGACGATTGCGAGGGACGACGACGACGACGACGACGACGACGACGGAGGACGACGACGACAACCACCACCACCACCACGTCGGCGACGACAGCGACGACGAGGGCGGCGACGACGACAACAACGGCGAAGGCGATGTCGACGATGAGCTGGACGAAAGCTACGTGGACGCGGGCGCCGACGACGACTACGAGGGCGACGACAGCGACGACGGGCCAAACGGGCGTGCCAGCGCGCGGACCTTACCCAGACCTCCTGCGGTCATGATTTTTTCAGGACGGCCTCTCGCGTCATGAATTTAAATCACGACGATCACAACGTCGAAGCGCGTGCCGCTGTTCCGCCATCGACAGGCGATCTCCGCTACCAAATTAACTTGAACCACCAACGGATTTTGACCCAAGATTGCAACGGACCGCGGGGGGAGGGGGGAGGGGGGGGGAGGAGGGAGGATGAAGGGGAGACACAGCGATGGGCAGGGCATCTGCGCACATTTCCAACTGAAGCATGCGCGCGCGCAATACAGCCTGCGGTTGTCCATTCAGCACACTTGGCCTGCCGCAGCCGTCGCTCCTGCGAAAGACAGTGATGCGACGATCGATCCCCGACGCTGTGACTTTTTTGTTCGCGACGTCGACCCCCAGAGGTCTGGGCCACGCCCGAGGTCCGAGAAGGGCCCCCCGAGGCCGAACATGGAGAAAAAAAAAACACCCGTCGTGAAAAAAACACCCGTCGAGAAAAATACGTCGCTCACGCGCCAACGCCGCCTTCTGCAGCGTCAGGATCGATTCAAACGCTTGGGAAGGGGTGGAACGAGGATCTATGCATATATATATATATATATATATATATATATCGACACATTTGCACACGTGTATATGTGTATATATATGTATATATGACGCCCGCACTTTTGATCCGCATGCGCGTGGCGCGTCGTGCGTAATGGCGCGCACGCCATTCAGCCTGCGCTCCCTGCGCCGCCGAGTCGTCTCGAGGCGAGCGGGCCCTAGTCAAAATTTGAGGGGCGAGAGATGAGAGGAAGAAACATGCACCTCTCAACGCTAAATATCACAAACATACATACATCATGCGCAGAGTGCACGGAGATGACACTGCGCGGTGCAACTCGAGGGGGGCGTGCTTTTTGGCCCCGGGGCCCCGGGCCGGGGCCAAAAAAAAAAAAAAAAAACCCTTGGAACAAAAAACCCTGGAACAAACAAAAAAACACGCAAGGGGATCCCGAGCGCAGCGCGGGCGGTCGCCGATTTTCCGTAGAGCAAACGACGGTTGTTGCCGCGCAGCTACGCCGCGCGGTGGCGTCGACCAACTGGCCAGCCGCGGGGGGCGCAGTGGAGGGGGGGTCCACCTGATGGCGCACCCCCTGACTTCCCCTTGGC